TACTCCTGCGGTATTTCAACCCCTGCTCGATGATCAACATGAATGGCATGCATACTCTCGGCGGGGTCATCAAGGAGGTCGTGGTCAAGGGTGTGCAGGGCCTCCGCATTGCCAAGGCAAGCACCCGTCTGAGGCAAGCAGTGGCTGACTACAATCAGAACAAGGGCCCAAACCCTGGCCGTGCTGGTAAGGAACTCATATGACTTGCCCATTATGCATGATGAATAACTTAAGGGTTAATGCAATAACTACTAGTGGACTAATTTACACATGGACCTCCCCATCATAGGCTCTACTATGGAATTCTTACAGGAGACACACTAATCTGTAATGTATGCAGATGGTGCCCAGCTGGCCAGGATCAGGGCCGCACTGCAGGAAGTCGTACGGGTGACACCAGCGGCTCTCACGTCTAGACTCCAGCGCCTTACCGGTGCAGGGAAGGCCGCCAAGACGCACACTTACTTTCTGCTTGCCGGTCCCATCGGCTTGTACGTCATCACATCTGCACGATTTCCTGAGCCTGTACAGGAGGCATACCTGCGGCTCCTTCAGGCATGTGGCGACTTGTGGCAGAAGGTGTTAGAAGGGTGAGACCACGGGCAGGTTTAAATTTGTGTAGATGTATCCCAAAAATGTGGTGTGCATACAGCGATCCACCAGACCCATGCTTAGTCTCCTCTGTCTGCTTTCTTTTCCTGTTTTGTCATGCTGCTTGCGCAGGGGTGAGGTGGACGCCCTTGAGCAGCGCGTGGTGGAGGCTGTATGCCTAGTCGAGCTTCGTCTGTCCGTGAATGAGATGGACATAAAGCTGCACAACCTGTTGCACCTGGTGGATTCCATAAAGAACATCGGGGGAGTTGCTCAACATTGTGGACATGTTCTGTGACGATTTTGGGATGCGCCCAAATGTGTCGAAATGTGAACGCCTCGTTTTTGCGAGTGACAGCAACATTAGGAGTGCTGTCCAAGCATCGTGTGATGAGCTCAGGCTGGCTGGAGAGGCCATACCGGCTAAGGATAGTGCGTGATAT